TAAATTCACCTTCCTCTAATTCTATTAGTCGGCGGAAAACTGGCCGACCAATAAAATTACAGATCAGGTTTTTATCCGTCAGATTGCATACCTGACAGTTTATCAGAAGGTAAATAAACCGATTCTTAGTCATATTGTCTCAAGTAATTTTCCAGGCATTATTTTAGGAAATCGAGAAAAATCAGGATAATTTTCTTGAAGCAATTTTGGGTAGGCTTCAATGTGGTGATATTAGTTTATAAATTCGACATTTTGGTTTTCCAAGGCCATCATCAACCTATTTTTTTCTTATATGGACCATGATCTTACTGATCTTACATTCTTATCTTAGTTTTTCATAAGCTATCATTTGACACCAACTTTGAATTAAACCAGATTGAATTTTACCGGTATTCTCAATCATGGATTAAATTGAGAGTTGGTTTCAAATTTCAATGGCCGTTTGCACCGACCATTTTAAGAAAGCATTAGCGATAAGCGAGGCGATAAGTATTCCTTAAAATGACATTACTACATGGATAAATGCAATGACATCAAAACACAGATAGACCGAACAATAAACAAAATTTTCGTATGACAACATCTCTCTGTCTCTTTTGGGTCTTTGTGCTATCCCCACCACTGAGAATGCCAAATTTTGTCTTGAATCCCTAAATAATATATTTTTCTCCTCTAATTAACATTTTCAATTTTATTTCTGAACTCAATTTGGCAACAGCAGATTATAGCAAAACACCGCCCAGAAGCGGCTTGTTGAATGGCAGGCAGGTGTTGATTGTAGTAGCTAGCTATCTTTATTGCAAACAGGGATTATTCATTAGCGTTAAACAAGAAACGACTAACACGATATTGGTACTCCCAGAATAAAGGGCTCGTATCGAATATTTTCAGTTTATTTGTCAATTTGTTATTTTATTTATTCATCCAATTAAATTTCGAGATATATTCACGTGTGGGCGGGGTTTTTTACACCATTTTGAGCAATGATGTCTCCCTACCCCGACCCCGCGAGCAACTCACCTCCCCTGGCCCATGGGTGGTCTTGTCAACACAACAAATAATAGTTTATGAATGGGATGATCCGTCTATCTGTGTTTTGATGTCATTGGATAAATGTCACTTTAAGGAATACTTGTCGCTAAGGCTTTCTCAAAATGGTCGGTGCAAATGGATACAAATGGTTTATATAAAACTAGGATAAGTATAGTCGTATTCACGATAGAGTTTAAATTTTGACCGTTATTTTCACCAGTTGAAAGTAAATAAAATCCCTAGATCTGTCCCTTTTTCTGTTAACCATCAAATAATGATACATGACATTTCGATTTGACATATAAAATTATCAGATTCGGATCTTAGAATTTTGAATTTCGAATTTTTGCGCGAGATCGTTTTAGTTTATTGCCGTTTTCTGCATTATTTTTTGATATTTTGTTATATTCTCAATCGGTTTAATGGTTTTTTATGTAGTGTTCTGTGCCTTTGTGTTTCGGTGTTGCGTTTCATTTCTAACCTGGTTTTAGTTCGGATTTAAGTGTTTTGTCTTTTTATAAGTGTTCACTTTGGACTCTATCAAGACTTATCTGGTTTATTTTATCTTCTTCATGTAAGTTAAACCTAATACTTACACAATATTACGATTTTAAAAGTGCCGTTTTCTTATTAGCGATGACAGAAAAGTCCCCAGACAAGTCCGATCGTACCAGGGTCCTGGAGTTCCAGCATCTCAGATGATTTAGGTGTGAAGAAAAATACGGTAAAATTGGCAACTTTAAATTACCACTGTCATAATTCATCGCCAATAATTTTCAGGGAACAGCAATAAACCTTGGAGATGCTTCTTCTTTACGAGACGAATCTTTTTTTTTTCTAAGCAAGAGGGAAAGTGACAAGGTAGTGTTTTCAGTAAAAATAAGCAAATAATCCTTTTGTAGAGACCAATAATTCATGGGCACCCTGTGGCTCAGCAATTTATACAACTCGTATACAACCATTTCAAGGTGTCTCATGAAGATCAAAATCCCATAACTGTAAGTTAATAACAATAAAGTTAGTCTTGATTGATCATAGAAACGTTTTCGTCTTAATCTCAGTAAATGTAGGTACAAGTTTTGGAAGGGGATATTTTCGAACCGAGTGGCTTTTGTTAATTTTTAATAAATAAATTGTAATTTACTGTTCCATTGCCTTTCTAGGAGATAGCTAAGGTTTTGAAACTAAGTGAGACCACTGTCTATAAATATAAGGATGGTTCAGTTGAGTCTGAAATTACCCCTGTCACGCGGAAGCGTAAGAAGTTGCAGACAACTGATTCAAGTGGAAGCGTCAAACAGACTATTCGATTAGAGATATACAAAATGTTTACAGAGAGTAAGTTGATGTTCTACTTTGAACATAGAGTTGTTTCAATGTTACTTCATATTAACATTACCAGTAGATTATTCCGAAAGAATACACCTGATAACATTGGAACTTCTCAGATCTAATTAAACTGTTTTTCATAGTTTAATACTATTTTTTATTTCAGGTCAACACAAATTAAGATGCTGCTAGGATTTCTTTCATTCCATAATTTCATGATATTTTTTAGAATTGTTTTCTTGCTTTTCAATAAAGGTACCTGAGTTATTGGAGTCTTTCATAAGGATAAGTATTCATATTCCCCTCTTTGACGTACCTACACAGTTTGGGTTCAGATATTTGCAAAGCTTCTGTAACTTCTGCTGCATGCTTTATCCTGTGTGTTGGGTTTATTGTTTTTCAGATGTTTAGCATTTTGTGTTGTCATATTTTCTAGTGGACTTTGGTACCTCTAAACATGGTATCACTAATTAAACTTCCTATTTAATGTATCATCTAATAGTATGCTTGTATAAATTATTTAGAGGGGCAATGTCCCATCTGTCGCCCACCTCTTACTGTTATTCTTCCTTTATTATATTATTTAGCAGTTTTTGGTAAAAAACCCATTACTACACAGGTAATTGATTAATTAATAGTTAAATTTAATTATGCACGTCCACTTGTGTCAGTTGTCTCTTGTGTGTGATGTTTGTACCTGCGACGAAGCAGCACTGGTGATGACTTAAGGCCGGAAGCACTCGGCGGATTTTCTTAATAAATTATTACACAGAATGCATACTCCTCTCTTCTTCAATTATAAGTTTAAGCCATTTCACTAACACAAACTAGACTGGGTAATTTTAGTTCAATTTTGGGTAGTAGTCTTTTTGTTATAGGGACTGGTGTTAAATAGTAATACTAAGTTACTTGTTCAATTACCTTTAAGAGTTACGTTATAATGGTGTCACCAGCAAATTCCATAAGAATACACTCGGTGTCATTATTGACGAAAGTCTCAAAGCTAATTGAACAAGATATACTAACTAAAATCAGTAATATTTGCTGTTGCTACAGTACTACAATATTTAAACAAGCATTTTTCGTTTTTAGAATTGCATATGTTACCCTTAAGACTGTAAGTGATAGGCTGAAAGAAAGTGAAATTTATTACGGTTCCCAGTCAAGTTTAGGCAGGGTTTTGCTCACATTAGGATTTACCTTTAGAAAGGATGATCCAAGAAGAGCCCTCATGGAAAAGCCTGATGTAAGCCACATGAGAAGAGTTTTTGGGTAGAAATTTTAGTACTGTATAATTTTATTACTGGAAAATTTGAGTAGAAATTTTAGTACTGTATAATTTTATTAATGGAAAATTTGAGTAGAAATTTAAGTACTGTATATTATTATTGGAAAAATTTGGGTTCATTTATTTAAAATTAAATATGTATAATATGTGTGGAAATACTGCAGTTGTTTCTCTCTTTTGCAAGTAAACCCCCTTCAGCATTTAATTCTGTAGCTACCCAAGGAAATAACTAGCATCAATAAACCGCTCGCATATACCATCTAACCTTTAAAAATCATCAGAGTACTTGGGCGGCCAGCTTCAGCAACAACTATTAGAAACTATTACGTTTGTTCTATTACAGATGTTTAATATTACTATGCAGGATTTTAATAACTTGACTTCCTTTAAAGAAATTAAAAATAAATCTGGAATGCATATCATTTTCCTAAATACGACCCTGTCGTTTATCCCAGCTGGAGGAATGAAAACGCTTACGCATGCTGGCAACCTAAAGAAAAAAAATACTAGATATGTCAACGCCAACTGTCAACTTCACTTTCTATCGTGATTACGACTATAATCACTATAATATAGGTTTTCAGCCTGCAAATTGCAAAAAAGTCAATTTTCAACTGTCAATATTTCCTAAGGGCCAAATTATGGTTCAACTGTAAGTGTCTGGTTGTTACCTAGCAGGTACTTTCTTCTCTAGTGCATAGAGAGTAACTGCTAGGTAACAACCAGACGTTTACCAGTCTGTCCAGAATTTGGCCCTAAACAGTTGAAGAGGACTCTCAGCTCCTAGCAAATCTTCCTGATTTTTTGACTCGTTTTTTGAGCAGGTCTCAAAGCAGCTAGAGTAAGTACAAATGAAGATGTTGATAAATGTCTAGAATTCTTTGCAGAATCCAGAAATGTCATAATATACAGGGGGTACCAGGTGCAACCATTAAAAAAAAAGTTGATTACACTACAGCTTTTCTAGAAGCACCCTGATTAAAGAAAATCAAATTGACCAGTACAGATGACATTTTAACATTGAGATCGTTTTACTGGGGTGCACTACATTTATTTATAACCAAAAATTACATTATTTTTGCATTTTTCGACTCGTTTTCAACCTAGAAAGCTTCTGATGTTATGATATTTCCACCAGTTCCACCTGTCTTTAACCTAGGAAACTTTAGATTTGACAACAATGATCGGTTGCCCCCCCAGGTGTGATGTAAAACTGGAATGGTCAATACAGCACAATCGAGAGCACAATTATTCAACATTTCACTGTAATTTTACTACTGAATAAGCTCAATGCTTGGCAAATTGCCAAGAAACAAGAAACACAAACTACTAATCATTAAAAAAAAATTACCTTTTAGGACTTTCATCCAGGATAGGAGAGGGGCACGCATCCTTACGTTTCCTTTTCATCTTCGCCTTTGCAGCACCCTTTTGGCAGTAAAAAAACCCAAAAATTGCCTTTCAGCAACAAAATAACATTACAAAAATACACAAACCATAACCCGACTTTTCCAAATAACTAAGACAAATGCCTAAAAAATCAATAAGCGCCCTTCACAAAGGGTTTTGGATATTCTGGCATTTAATCCAAAGCCAAAATATGCTTATTAATTATTTTTGCACAACAAAACCCATAAAGACGCTGGTGATCACCATTACAAAATTCCAGGGGCAACGACCTCGAAAGTCAGAATAAACATAACCTCACTTCAGTCACTTCTCTTTGAAATTATTTTGACAACTGACAATTTGACGGTCAAGAGGAGAGAGTCGGTAGAGTGTCGACACTGTTTACACTAGCTGCTTTCCAGTGCCTAATTATTAGAGTATCATGCTCCTGGAGTGTGACGCTCTTAAACTGTTCGGAATTCAAGAGCATGAAACACCGAAATAAAGGTTAGTGCACGAGGGGGCAGGGGATAACAGAAATGAGTAATTCAATTGTACGACACTCTAAGCACTGGAACGCGCAAAGTAATCGTGGAGCACTCCTGAGTTGCTCAGGAGTAACTCAAATGAATCACTGGAAAGCACCTACTATTGACACTAGGCGTTCGTTAATTGGTACCGATTACACCTTCATCACGTGATATAACACTGCACTACACGAACACCGCACTAGCACTGCACTAAAATCCCATTCCGAACAAACTGAACAAGGAATTCAACCTCAGTTGAGTTCGGTGTTCAGTTTCTTCATTGGTTTCCTCACACCGTGTGCACTCTGACTGTTCGGATATAGTATTAAGATTAGCTACTTTCACAGGAGTGCAATAATTGTCAACCATTGCCCGTTTCGGTGTAAATTTTCTGAATCCGTTGAGACAGTTTTTGCTCTGAGAGCGATCAATTCTGTAAGAGCTCTTGGAGGATCATTTGATTCTGAACTTTACGAACCGAGAAAAGAAATCGCTTTCTAGCTTACCTACCAAACGTCAAAAATTCAGCTGTTATTTGACATTATAAAAATTTTCACCTTTGATGACGTCCCTTTGTTTACTACCAAATTAATATTTATTATCCTATTTATAGAGGTGTTTTTGTATGTATCCACGTCGAAGTAGCCGATTGTTTGAAGATAAAAAAGAAATGTAAAACTTCTTATCGTGGCAGATCATATCGAATAGCAAAATCTTTTGTCCACAAGGCATGCTTCTTATTTGGTCAGTATTTTTTAGAATTTTAGCTGAAATGCTGCAGACTCGGCAAACTGTTGGCACTTCAATATGTTTGAGAGTGTAAAATATACCGCAATAGATAAGGCTGAAGAGGAAGTCGCGATAATTGAAGAGGAATCAGTAGAATTTGAACCAATGAAGCGGAAATTTTGTACACCATCTTGTCTTTGGTCCGCAGTATTTACTGGGGCCCTTATTGGAACTTATTACATACCTTCTGTAGGACTTACATTCTATCAACGATGGCTACTTCAGGTAAATACATATGGTTCATTCAATAAATAGCATGTAACTTTGTTATTATTTAGAGATTCCCCTTTCCTCTGCTGACTGTATTGGTGCACATGATGGTAAAATTTTTACTAGCGGCTTTGGTTAGATTATGTTTGCCTGGAACGCAGAACAAACCTAGGGCAGCCGTAGGATGGAGAGACTATATTCTAGCTGTAGCTCCAACAGGTCTTTTCAGTGGTATTGATATTGGTTTTTCGAATTGGGGCTTAGAAGTTGTCACAGTTTCTTTGTAAGTACTTATGTAATTTGATTATCTCAAACAGAACCAGAATACTTTAGAAATTATCCTATTTTGTATGTAATACTGGTCTATTCTTACGGTTTCAAAAGATTGTTCTATTATTTTAATATACCTATCAGCAGAGTCTCTATCAGACTTTAATTATGTTTATTTTTTCAGGTATACAATGACAAAATCCACAACAATAGTGTTTATTTTATTTTTCTCCATTTTATTTAAACTGGAAAAAAAGGTAAGGGAACCTGAAATACTTTTTTTATAAATAGATTTTTTTATTAGTCTTTGTTGACTTGAAACAATAAAGATAAAACTTATATTTGACTAACTCCTAACTTTATGCCTATTGAGATAAAAGATTATTCTTGAATTTATATATTTGAGTGAACTCAATAACTCATTGAAAATTCGAGATTCAAGTCTATAGAGATTTTCTCTACATCTACAACAAATCAAGACATGAAAAATACTTCAAGCAATCAGAGTGACTTCAAATTTTCAGGATTTATTGAGTAGGGTATTCTTATCAAACAGAACAAACCGCGAATGGATCTCTGGCTCAGAAATGGAATTATGATTTTTTTCTCACTTGATGCATAAAAGTCATGGAAAAATTTCTATACAATCACCTTTGGAAGCTTCTGAAAAATACTTCAAGCAATCAGAGATACTTCAAACTCTCAGGATTTTTTGAGTAGGATCTTTTTATCAAACAGAACAAACCCCGAATGGATTCCAGGCTCAGAAATGGAATTATGAATTTTTTCTCACTTAGATGCAAAAAAATCATGTAAAAATTTCTATAAAATCACCTTTGTAAGCTTATAAAAAATAGTTCAAGCAATCAGAGGGACTTCAAACTTTTAGGATTTATTGAGTAGGTCTCTTTATCAAACAAATAGAACCGCGTGTGAATTTCAGGACACCCTGTATATTATGAGATTCAAGTTGCTTTTCTTTAAAAATTTTGGATTTGGGAATGTAGGTATTCATCATGACAGTAGGAAGGATAGACTACCAATTCAAGCTCGATAAAACCCAGAAAATAAATTTCAATATTATTACAGTCTTGTGAATGGTAATATTGTCAGTCTCCTAAAAATGTATTTGGATGATGGCAGAAAATAGTCATCACATATTGATCAACAATATCCAATATCTAAAGTTAGACTATAATTAGAATATCATCTGTTACATCTATTAAAAAAATTGTTTAATGGAGAATAGAAATTATATTGTCATTCTCTAGTCACCTATGAAACTATTCCTATGTACTTATATCTTGATAGAAATTGAAGTTCGTTTATTAAAATGTTTCTCCCAAACACTCATATTATTGTGAAGATCATTAACAAACTGGACCTTGACTAGCAACCTCTTCCCGCAACTCTTTAAATTCAAATATATATAATAAACTTAGCAACCCTGAGAATGTGTTAATATACAACACAGATGAAGGTATTTTATTTAAAACACCAGTTAAAACAGTATTATGTTCAGCAAGGAAATATACAAAATTATTTTTAGTCTTGGAGCCTCAGTTTCATAGTCCTAATGATAACAGCAGGACTTATACTTTTCACCTATAAATCGACCCAATTCAATTTTGTTGGCTTCGTTCTCCTACTGATAGCGTCAATTTCGAGCGGTCTGAGATGGACTTGCGTCCAACTGCTGCTTCAAAAATCCAAAATGGGCATGACAAATCCTATCGATATGATCTATCATATGCAACCGTGGATGATTGCTTCAGTTTTGCCTTTTGCTTTATGGAATGAAGGCGAGTGAATACTGATGAGTTAAAAAATTATTGTTTGTTTTAAGCTGAAACGGATTTTATTTTTTTAGGTTTTGACATTGTACGAAGTTGCCAGGTGTTTGGTTTTATGGAAATGCACAAATTTCTAATGCTGTCGTTGAAAGTATTATTAGGGGCATTTATAGCGTTTTTTATGGAATTTAGTGAAGTCACTTTAGTTACCTATACTTCCAGTTTGACTCTTGCCATAGCTGGGATATTCAAAGTAAGAGTTTTTTTTAAAATAAATGGTCACAAATCTAGCAACATATTTTACTACTAATCAGAATGTGAACCAAATTTAGACCATTTTATCTCTCTTGTTCATCTCACAATCAAGAGAAACAATTCATTGCTGGCTCACTCCTATTAACAGCATAATAATATACCTATTTATTTTTTTACAGGAAGTATTTATATTAGCTTTAGCAGTAGAAGTAAACGGAGACATGATGTCACCAATAAACCTAACAGGACTTTTTATATGCCTTTGCGGCATTTCAGGACATGTGATACATAAAATTAAGTCTACACCACAGACTAGGCAAACGGGCAGGGGTTACGAACAAGTCAATGAACGATACGAACTGGGTGAAACTTTAATTGAAGACGATTACCTTCAGGCTGATGAAAGTGAGGGTGAAAAAAGCGATACACAAGTATTATTTGATATTTTGAATCGGGAGAAACGTTATAGTTTTTAATTTTTCTCCTTTGACTGCTGGCATTTAGTTAGTCTTTGATCAAATTTTAAATTCTTATGAATGATTTGTGCTCGAGTTTTGTGTGTCGTATTATATTACTTAGAAAATGTGATGTTTCTTAATAATTTTAGTGATAGTATTTTATGCAGGCTGTCAATAATTGGTGTATATTTTATGTCCTGTATTTTTATTTTTTGTTATACATTGTTAAACATTCCATATATTTATTTAGGGCAAATAGTTGATTTTGTTACTGTTTTCATTTTTATAGAAAATAATCTACCAATCTATGCCATATGTTGTAAATATTCTTATTCTATCAATTAGCTCCAATATCCATAGATTGAATATTATTTTCCTGTAACTCTTTAGAAACCATTACCTACTTGACTGCAAATTTATTTTCTATTTTATAATAATGTAAATATCAATATTGTATATCTGTATGTTATTTTGTAAATAAACCATGAATAGACACTTTGTTTTGATTTCTATTATTTCATTTTGCGGAAATTTCAGATTTATATTACTAAAAACTAGACGTTTCAGGTGAATGTCTTACTTAAACAGTTCAACAGTATATTAGTGAGTAGATATGGCTGCCGAACACGCTGCGCTCGTCCCGCAGAGCTCCACCCAAAAGTTCCGCAAAAACCCACTTATTTGTACTTGAATAATAACTTATTATATAAAGTTAGAATTTGTAAGATTATCCACTTTTTGTCAATTTGCCTTTAAAAAGGAATTAGTAATGTTACTTAACCAAACTAGTAATATAAGTGTGACAAGTTATTCAAGTATAAACGAGTGGATTGTTGCGAAACCTATGGGTTGATTCAGCCATCCATTAACCATTATGTTGTTCAAGTACAATACTAACCTGATTCACTCATGCCCGTATTACATCTGTGTATTTTTCCGTGTATTTATTCATGTAGTTCAGGATGACAACCGAAAAACTTCAAACGCAACATAAATCAGCATTATGGAAAACAAAATAATGTTGGCACCCTGAACTACATGAATAAATACACGGAAAAATACACAGATGTAATACGGGCATTAGTTGCAAATTTTCCTCATTAGTTCAAAAACTACACATTTCATGTGAATACCTTACTTGGACAGTTCAACAGTATGTGAGTAGATGGCACTCATAAGTCCCGCAACAATCCACTATTATTTGTACTCGAACAATAACTTATTATATAAAGTTAAAATTTGTAAGATTGTGATTATTCACTTTTTGTCAATTTGCCTTTCAACAGGAATTAGTAATGTTACTTTACCAAATTAAGAACATAATGTGACAAGTTATCCAAGTGCAAATGAGTGAATTGTTGCGGCACTTATGGGTGGACCTCTGCGGGATGAGCGCAGCGAGTTCCGCAGCCATCTATTTATCAATATATTTTTTAATTACGATACTAACCTGACTTACTCAAAAGTGAGTTATTCTCATTAGTTTAAAAACTACATGTTTCAGGTGAATGTCTTACTTAAACAGTTCAAGAGTATATTAGTGAGTAGATATGGCTGCGGAACACGCTGCGCTCGTCCCGCAGAGGTCCACCCTTAAGTTCCGCAAAAATCCACTTATTTGTACTCGAACAATAACTTATTATATAAAGTTAGAATTTGTAAGATTATCCACTTTTTGTCAATTTGCCTTTAAAAAGGAATAAGTAATGTTACTTAACCAAACTATAGTAATATAGTGTGACAAGTTATTCAAGTACAAACGAGTGGATTGTTGCAAAACCTATGGGTGGATTCAGCCATCTATTCACCATTATGTTGTTCAAGTACAATACTATAACCATTAGTTCAAAAACTACACGTTTCAGGTGAATATCGTACTTGGACAGTTCAACAGTACAGGTGAGTAGATGGCTGCGGAACTCGCTGCGCTCGTCCCGCAGAGGTCCACTCATAAGTCCCGCAACAATCCACTTATTTGTACTCGAACAATAACTTATTATATAAAGTTAAAATTTGTAAGATTGTGATTATTCACTTTTTTTCAATTTGCCTTTCAACAGGAATTAGTAATGTTACTTTACCAAATTAAGAATGTAATATGTAACAAGTTATTCAAGTACAAATGAGTGAATTGTTGCGGAACTTATGAGTGGACAAATGCGCAGCGCAGCGAGTTCCGCAGCCATCTATTTATCAATATGTTTTTCAATTACGATACTAACCTGACTCACTCAAATGTGAGTTATTCTCATAAGTTTAAAAACTACACGTTTCAGGTGAATGAAAACCTACACCTCTGACAAAAGTTACACTTGACTCTCTGTCTCCTATTATTGGAAATGTATGATTCTATCCTTAATATAATGGCATTTATTATTTTGTACGATTGGGTATGAATTCAAATATATAACATATATAACATATAACATCTATACTATATCCTATTCAGAATCTGTAGTCCAAAGATAAAGGTTTCATCACTTTTTCTTATCCAATAGCACTGAAAGGTGATAAATTTTACCTTTACCTTTGGACATCGGATTGTGAATAGATAATACATAAAGTTTCTGGTTGAAAGTGGCTAGGCACATAGGAAGAAAGGTACCGCCCAGATTAACAAGGGTACCTTATCCACTTAGCTGAAATAAGACGAATGAAAGAAAAATAAATAAAACACCTTCAACTTGAATATAGATTGGTTTTTATTTGTTTTGACTGTACTGCCTTTTTCATATGGCATTATACATTTTCAACAATGGCACACCATATACATATATCTGTAACACAATATATAATGTCTATACAACAATTTTGCTCTAATATAATAGCTCTCTCTTTTTTTTTTAAATGTTAAAACAGGAATTTTTTACAGATCCTATAAATATATCTCAATAGTTTTCTCGGGACATTATTGGGAAAATATTAAGTTTGTATAAAAAAGAGTCCCAAGTTCTAAGCAAATGTCCCATACCATATTTTCTTTTGGGCGCCCAGCACCCAAAACTTTGCAAGGCACTTTCAAAATCATTGTCTACTTTATTCTATTCTTTATTTGTTTAGGTACCTTTGGGTCTTTGCGACAGAGGTAACAATTAGTAAACTGAATTTTGCAAAATGAAAAACAAGAAAATACTGTTACAATTTTTTTTTTAAATAAAAAAACAGTTTTAACAAAAAGTTGATATCACAGAATGCCAAATAACAATTAAAAGTACTACACATTAAGAGTAATCACAATTATTTTTTTTTAAAAATCAGTATTTTCTTTTTTTTTTTAATTGAGGGCAAAAGAAGATTCACCCATTTAACTATTGTTCAATATGTTACAAAATTATAATAATGCACAGTTACTTATACTACAAACAATTGCCGACCAATAAATGAGTTGCAGGTTTTATTTTATCTATACAAATATTTAACAAAAAAAAGCACGAGTGAGGTATTTTATGTTATGCAGAAAAGTCAACACATTTAGTTAGGATCTTCTTAGAAGCCATAAGCTTATATTTTTTGAAACTACATACAAAAATGGTTTTTGATTTTCTTCCTTTATCTTCAGGGCAAATAATATATTAAATGATTATTTAATATATTTTTGCCACTGACTCGGCTCACGTATACCCTTTTCTCTTATCTTATCAAATATAGTCCAGTAATCGCAAAATGGATGGAAGTGTGCACTTTCCACATACTTTACTGTATCACAGCCAAGAAGTCACATGGAAAAATTATAAACATTTTGAAAAAGCATTTAAATACTTTGCAGAACAAAAAGGATTTCTTGGAAGAATTTCTTAGAGATCCATTAAAATTGATTGTTTTGCAAAATAATTACTTTGGTTCGGTTTTTATTTTAAACAAATGATGGTCTGAAACTCATGTAAAAACTTAATCAGTTTCAGGCGCCAGTTGTTTTTCAAAAAAACCACAGGACTGCTTCTATAGACAAACACTGTTAAAATACTATAATAGAAATAATTTTGAAGGTATTCAAGCGCCACGTTTCAGAAGAAATGTTAATGCCGTTTAGGTAGTTAAAATACTCTAAGCAACTTTAATGTCTTCTGAGGCGTTCTTTACTTTTATGTTGGGATTTCTTATAGGCGTCAGTCGAAGGTGGACTTGGAAAAATATAAGTCTACAATGGGTGGGTTCTACTGTTCCAGCAGTATATTGTCCCATCCATCAAGATATTTCTGGTAAAGTCAAAAAAGAAATTTAGACATGGGAGTATTTCTTTGAATGCATTTTGAAGATTTTCCTGTCGTTAACTGGAATTTTCCGCATACTTAAAGGTCCTCTTAACTGGTGTCATTTTGTGAAGAAAGTGCAGAAAAGTGTAGATCACTGTAGGTATAAAAGCATCCTATGTAGATTTGAGTCTACATAAACTGAGATGACGAAAATGATAATTGGTATAATTGATCTGTATCTACTATTTGTTCTGATTAATTGATTGGTTATTTGAGAATGGTATATTTCCTGAAATTACCACAGATATAATGGCATCGTAGCTATTTTGCAAACCTTAACTTCTGCATCTTGAAGTTCTGACACGAAGTTTATTCATCTATGGCTGCAGTTTGAAAATGATCATCAAAAAAAGTATGAGGGTTCATAGATGATTGTGAACAAATTTTTGTATTAATTTTCGTCCGACGCCTATTCGAATCCACCTTTTAAGACTGACAATAAAATACAGATCTTTTGAGAACATTATTTTGTATAAAAGCAGTTTTATCACACGGCCATTGAGATCGAGGTGGATCCACACACCAATACTCCACCATAGCTCCGTCCTTAATAAAAAAAACCTACCTTTTAATTTTTTCTTTAGATATCACTCTTAATAATACTCCTTTTTTCCTATTTACAATTTGTATCGATAGAACACTTGATGTTTTATTAAACATTGGGAAATTTGTATGCACAAGCATTACATTAAAAAAAAAAACGCGGCAAGCAAAAATAATAACCATCAACTTTTCATCGATACAACAACAGAATTAATGCATCTTGCCCCTTAACTTCATCATTATTTTAAATCTACTTATATTGTCATGAACAAACTTTACGAAATAAAATATTTGTTTCGATTGCACTATTTTCATGGGTATAAATTTTTTTATCCTACATTAAAAATTAATAATATGGATAATGGATTATTTTTGTATTGTAAAAAATTCCTACACATGGGTTAAATTATCCATAATCCATATTAAGGCGATACTAATATCAATAAAAAAAAAGCAACATGTTATACACAAATATCTACAACATAATATGGTAAAGGATTGTTGATTGGAGTTGGATTTTGCAACAAGATTTTGGATGTTCAATAAAAACACTCCAGTTATAAGTGAACAAAATAGCACCTCAACTTATACATTTTCCGACTTCAGGAAGGAACAAAAAATTTCTCTTCCTAGGGAGCATCAGTTTACTGGATGTTTGACATTGCTCTCCAGTTTCATTCACATCACTTTTTTCCCTTGTAAAGTATTGCACGGTATCATAGTATCGATTGAAAAAACTATGACCAATGTCAAATTCTGATGTTTGATTTAAGTAGATTTTTAGAATAAATTGAATTTGAATGTTTGAACAAAATGAAAAATTTCCAACTCCAATCGTTCCCCACAGACAAAAAAAAAAACAAATAATTAATTATCAGTCCTTAACCTTATGCAAAACTATCACGTTAAACAATCATTCCACCCTGCTTCTCCTTGCCAGCTCGTCATCTTCAATACCATCCGGAGCGCTCCATCTCCTTTTCCTACTTTCAATATCCAATTGCAATGGCGTCATTTGTTGCTGGTGCTGATGATGCGCGTAATAATTCATTTGCTGCGCAGTAAAAGATTTAGGAGGCGAGTGCGACATCGGCCTGTGGTGGACCTGAGGCGAGCTGGCAGGAGGTAGGAAATGATTTGAGGGGATTGTAGCGCTGGTAACTGTACTGGTAACCGCTGCGTTACCAGAATATTGCCTGGCCGACATCGCTGTGGTGGTAGCCGTAGTCATGATTGTGGTACTTCGGAAGGCCGTGCTGGTGGTTGCTGGCTGTGCCGCTGGTTCGCGTGGTGTTAGTGAGACTAAAACGTCTCCTACCTGTAACAATAATTATATTATTTAATAAAAATATTAAGTATTCTTGGATTTGTTGGAAAGGTTTTCAATCTGGAAAAATCTTTGTACATTAAACTAAAATATTCATTAAACAACCAGATTATGCTAACCAGAAAAACAATGCTAAAATGATCTCAGTCAATGGGTAAGCCGTTTGAAGTTGACTGGAAAATGGTACCTGGCAGTCCTGGCACATCTCATAACTTGAGGTTTATAAAAGGAAGACCTACTACTTAGAAAACACAAAAGAAAAACTTCTGGAATGTTATGAGTCCTGTGGGGTTTCTCACAGACAAGGAAATTTCAAATTCAAATATGATTAGATATAATTTATTAGGAGGAAATAATCCAGAACACCACAGAACAATTTACGGTTATTGCTTGTGGTCGGCTCAACTGGGGTTGGCAACTAAGTGTCCGTATTAGTGTGACGATAGTTTCTGATTGTCAGTCTTATCATCTTTTTTGAAAAGCAAAACTACGAGTCTATTATTCCATTTCTATAGTGTTTACGCAATCCTGGACGGACATATTATCACAACTCACAGCTCCTATACATTTCGTCCTGGGACGTCACAACAGGAGCGTGACCTGGGGGCGTAGGTAGGTAGGTAGAGAAAAACTCGCTTGATATAGGTACCTGCAATAAGATATTTATTAAATATAGGTATATAGAATAATATTACCCTAGGAATAATACTATGTCGTCTCTTCTACGGAGGGACGTACTACTTAGGCCACTCTGTGTTATGTACACTCTGTACACTCTGTACACTTGGCGTGACTGAAGACTGAAGCTGGGTTTGAAACAAGTCCAGAAGGGCGTTTCCCAATAAAGGTACTTTGCATTAACCTGGGAGGAGACTTAGCTAGAGGGGCTTTTCCCAATTCAGATACTTTGCACTAGCCTTAGTTTCCTCCCAGTGCAAACTAACTTTATTGGAAAACACCCTTCTGGGAGTATTGAACGCAGCAGACTAGGTCCAGTGCAAACTGCCTTTATTGGGAAACGCCCTACTGGACCAGTCTCAAACCGAGCTTTAGTCTTCAGTCACGCCAAGTGTACAGAACTACAGAGTGCACATAATACAGAGTGGCCTAAGTAGTATACGTCCTTCGGTAGAAGAGACATGTTATTATTCATAGGGTAATATTATTCTAATCTTATTGTACCTATACCAAGAGAGTTTTTCTCTACCTGAACCCCACCTACGCCCCCAGATCAGGCTACTGTTGCGACGTCCCAGCCCAGGACGAAACTTATAGGGGTTGTGACATATATTTAGATTACATTAATATTAGTCTCTTTCTTCCATATTGATGCAGTAGTCCCTTTTTCTTCTTTCAGCATCTTGGCTCTCAATACATCTTGTGCTGGTAATTATTGTCTTTCAGATATTCAATTGTATTGCCTTCTCGAACTTAAATTCTTCGCTATCTAGTATATCTTCGGAACAGAATTATTATATTTTTTGCTGGTTATGTAGTTGTGTTTCCATAACTGATGTATATTCAAACATTATTCAGTTTTTTGTCATCTGGTCCATTTTCTGTTGGGTCCTTCCTTGAAGAAACTGCTTGTAGCATAAGGATCTTCTTGTTTTACGTATTCATACAGCCTTTGTTTTCTCTTATTTCTGGATCCGTATCTAAAGGTGCCAACTTTGTATTCGATAGTAGAGTCGCACATGATAATAGTTTCTTGGTGCTGTGCTTTTGTCTATGGCTGTTGATAGCTCTTAAGATATTTATTACCTAGACGGACTACAGGAAGATGCTTTTATTAATGTTCAGGATGATATATCTATTAGCTTTATTGAAAACGACCTTCAATTTCTGGATACATGTCCAGATCTCTTTAGATCAATGCAGTTTTCTCTTTCCACTTTAGAGGGTCTAGTAGTCCAGTAGGTAGGCATACCATCCCATTGATTTTCTCAATTTTTTTTTCAAGTCAGATGCTCCAATGATCTTTTGGCATTATTCTACTAAGTATGGTCAGAATGTGATCAAAAACAGAATTCCATAATGATAATTTGTTTTTGAATTTCCTTATCAGGGATCTTTGTATTACCAGCTTGTTTGCCTTTTTTAAAGAACATCCTTGAGTGAAATGAATATCTTCGAATTTTCTTTTATCTTTTTCCGTCTTTAAAATTTTCCTAATAATTCCCCTTACTTCCTCGAATTTCCCCAAACTTCTCTGGACTTCCTCAAACTTGCATAGTGTGAACTTTCAAGGATTTTCGAATGTAATACCACAAGAGGTTTCAGGATTACCGGATAATACTTTTACCTGTCACGAAACGCGTTACGCAGCAACACCACGACTCCGAAGGAGGAGTGGTGTTGCTAGTAACGCGTTGAGTGTCAGGTAAAAGTATTAGATAATCCTTAAACATCGAGTGGTGTTCAAAAGGTTATACAACGAACTAAACTTTAATACTATAAAATTTTAAAAAATTTCTATAGTAGAATTTGCTATAAATGCCACCAAGCGCGATAATCCCAAAAGGCTTATCACTTATTAAGCCTCTCGTGTCATATGGGAATAATGTACAGTGAGTTGTATAACCACAATAAACTTTCATTAGGTACTTTGCACTTTCTTGGGTTAGAGGTGGAAACTTTTCAGCTGGTTCTCTTGGGTAACCAGTTTCCTATTTTCGCATAGAAACTTTGTGATCTTAATGATCTTTTGACTGCTGAATATGATCACAAAACTGACAACAGAAAAACCAATTTCGAATTCTGTTATCTACAACTTGTAGGGTACCTACCCTATGTAAATTACTGGTAGAATGTTCTACTACCCAAAGTCCTTTCTCTGTCTTAATTATTAACAGAGAAGATGAAAAAAACTACAATTTCGACTATCATCTACACTTTGAAGAGTTTCCTATGCAAGTCACTTGTAGAATGTTCTAGACAAGTTAAATAAAACTGACAACAAAAAAAAAAACAATTTCGAATGTAATCTACAACTTGTAGGGTACCCTATGCAAATCACTTGTAGAATGTTCTACTACCTACCCAATATTCTTTCTCTGTCCAAATTCATAGATAAGATGAAGAAAATTACAATTTTGACTATCATCTATACTTTGAAGAGTTTCCTGTGCAAGTCACTTTTAGAATGTTCTTCACAAGTTTAACAAAACTGACAAAAAAAAAAAACAATCTCGAATATAATCTTGAACTTGTAGGGTACCCTATGCAAATCACTCGTAGAATGTTCTACAACCCAAGGTCCTTTCTCTGACTAAATTAACAGAGAAGATGAAGAAAATTACTATTTTGACTATCATCTATATACACTTTGAAGAGTTTCCTGTGCAAGTCACTTGTAGAATGCTCTACACGAGTAAAACAAAACTGACAACAGAAAATAGAATTTCGAATTATGTAATCTACAACTTGTAGAGTACCCAATGCAAATCACTTGTAGAATGCTCTACAACCCAAGGTCCTCTCTCTGCTTAAATTAACAAACAAGCTTATCAGGGGTCTTTTTCTAACCAGCTTGTTTGTCGTTTTGAAAGAATATCCTTGAATGAGCGAGAAACACCTCAAATAATTCAACATATCTTTGAATTTTCTTCGATCTTCCGCCAACTGCTTTTAATTTTCCTAAAGACTCTCCTCACTTCTTCGAATTTCTCCTAACTTCTCTGGACTTCCTCAGACTTGCATAGTGTGAACTTTCAAGGATTTCCACATATTTTTTTTTAAATAAATTTTCATTAGGTACTTTGGACTGTCTTAGGAGGTTTGTGTATTTCCTTTGTCTTTCCTCTGATTTCCTCGGATATCTCTAAACTGTCAGTAACTCAAGTAATATTTCCCTCGTCCTCAAATCAAAGTGCGTAACTGGTAAAATATTCAAACGAAATATATTCATCAGAAACATCTGTTTGGAGGGGTCAAGTAATAATAGTTAATTGGTTCAGTGTAGCGTGTTAAATTGACATTTAATTATTGAAACCTGATGGGAATTTTCGGGCGAGTCATAATTTGAATGGAGCCCGTTCGGCAGTAAACATCAATTTAAAACTGAAGTGTTATTGGTTTTGTATTGCGGGATACGTGTAATGCATATTAATTTTTGCAACCTGGTACTAAATGGATTTACTTATAAAACAATAAAAATAAAAAAACGTTAAGAATTTTTCAATGCAGCTAAATAATGTCATTGCTTTTCGTTCAGCTGAACAAATAAGTGCATATTTGTTCGACCAAGTGCATACTGCTTAACTACCGAGGTTACTTATTTGAATGATATATGGAGCGTTAAAGAATGAAATGTAATTTTCTTTATTTGCATATATGAGTTGAGTAACTATATATTTTTAAGTAAATAATACAGGGGAGTTAATAAATATTTAACATGCATCGACAAAACTCTTCAATTTTAACATACCTTTGCAGGTTGCTTCAAACAAATATATCATTTTCAGGAATATTTTTTTACAATAATTATCCCAGGGTTTTCATTGATTTTAAAGGGACGGGTTCTTTGATTTCAATTTTTGAAAACTTTCAACTCATTTGGACTTATAGTTCCAGAGATAAAATCACGTAAAGCAATGTGGGGTGGATTATCTATCCTTGAAACGTATCTCAACACATACATTTTCATTAGAGATAGACAAGAAGAGGTTCACAACTGGCGACTGAGATAGTACCAGCAGCTTTTAAATCCAAGATCTATTATTTGTTATAATAATTCCAAATCTTTTTGTATTGAATTAAACTTATTCGCACTTATCAAACATCAGTAAGATGTCTGTTATCTGCAAATCAAGTCTAGAACTAGACAATCTCCAAAACTAATAAGCATCTGCGGCTTTCGCGATTTCAGAATGAGAATGTACTTTCAGCAAACCATATTTAAGTTTACGCTATTTAAAATAGGGTGCTTGATTTCCGTTGATGGTGATACCAGGAATGACATTTTCATCAATCAAGGACAAAATTAATTGTGTAATCATCAACGACTTACCTGAAGTTTATGAACTTTAAGCCGATAACAATGAAACGTCCTATCCGGATTGCAACTGGCCCAGCCGTGTCCCATCACAAAATACGGATGGTCGGGAGTCGAATCAACTTCCACCTGAAACAAAAAACAAACTTCAAGAATATCATCCCACCGCGCGTCCGAATACCTAAGCGTACTTGGGTAACCCAGAAGGGTACCTCTCTCATCACATGTTGCATTGTAAAATCTGGCCAGAGCGTGGAATGCCGCTCGTACTCATAGTACTACGAGACGTCGAGGAGGGTGGGACGCGGGAAGGTAGTACCAGTAGTACCACGTTCAGTACCGGAACGTTGTTGTCCTTGGGCGAGACCGAGGCCCAGTTGATGGTATTTTAAGTTCGTTGCATGATTAGTTATGGTACGTCTAGGACTTGTTTTTAGATAAAGGATTGACAACAAAGTTTTTGAACTATAGGGTCAATCAGATAGTGATCAGGGTTATACCTATAGACAAATCTATTTATAAAATATGAGCAAACCAATTGTTGTTTAATGTTTTAACATTTTTCTTTTTTAAAAGTATCGGGTTTTTATTACATTTTAAGTTAAGCTTTTTGAACTTAAGTAATGTTATTTTCTTGCTTGAAATCATGTGGGTTTAACAGTCAATAATTCTTATTTATGATTGGTAAGCTGATGTAAACATTTCATAAATATTTTATCTTGCCACTCACACAAATTGCGTTTCCAATTAGTGATTGAAAACTTTTTTTTGAATGACCGCGCGTACCTATATGTGCCATGCTTCCCACCAGGTACAAAGTTTAAAATAACCAGTTAAAATAAACCTGGCCAGACCCGCTAATTTAAAGAATGCCTTAATCACTCGATTTATTTTTTCATTCTGGTTTTGTGTGTATAACTGCCAGCACATTGAAATACGTTAATACTATTGGCAAGGGTTTTACGTTTAAAAATAGTACCGCGCAGCAATTCCGTTCAAGCTGGTTCTCTTTGTTTATTTTACCAGTCAAAACAAATAAAATTTACACTTATGGAAAATTTTCCTTCACAATCTCACCCATCAGCATTTTTATACTGATATAAACCAATAACTTTTATAAAATAATAGATTATGATGATGATCATCTATCTGCATGGATGAAAACTACATAAGATAAGATCTTTTGGGGCATGTTTCAAAAGTTTCAATAGCGTTTTCATATTACTTTTCCTAGGATTTTGCATCACATTTATAATTATCACTTGACCTGTAATAAGTAGATAAGATCTTCCACTGAATTATAAAAAAAAATCCTTGTTAATTTAATTAAAAACAAATGTCATGCAACATGTAGGAGGCTAATTTAATGTATGAATTTTCATTGTAACTGGACAATACGGTAAATTGAGAGATAATAAAAATCAACGATCTCTCTTGAAAATCCTACAACTTCATATTTTATTTGCTGAACACTCGAAAAACCCACCATCTTAATAATAAAATCCCAGGTCACTGACATTTTGGCTAAACAAGAAAACATGAAGGCGCTAGATGGTGGCAAAGACATTTCAATATTAATGAGCTATGTGATACTCATGAATATTCACCCAAGACTCGAGAATCCTCTATTTGTTTTTTGCTGGTAATTTTACACACATGTAGAATTATTACTATTTTATAATCTAATTGCACTAATAACTATAGGCTATTCAATCAAGATTATATGATTTATTAAGCCCCTATTGTTACTATGTGACAGAAATCTGAATGCATCATTTATTTGATGATGAGTTGGCGTGACAATAATAAGAATAGGAAAAAATGGCTGAGATCCGGGGCTATATTTCTATCGTATTTATGCGATTTGAATAATATTCAATTCTCAAGTAGTAGGTAGCAGAATCAGGAAAAATCAATAAGTTATTGATCAACGTAAAATAAATAGAAACATTTTAATCATAACTCTAGAACTATGGACTATTTCGAAGTTAACAGTTGTGCATAAAGTTGTTCCCCTTAAACCAGCAGGTAGTTGGTAGCCCAAATGTGAGATTACCAAAATCCAGCAAAGCTCAATTCACAACGAATTCGAATGTTAAGCCTACAGAGAAAAACAGGATTTGATTTGTAGTCGTTCCAGAACTTCCTGAGTCAACGTATAGTATTTCCAGAGTCAATTGAAACAAGGTAATAATAAATTGCAACTGGTAGCTGACTAGTGGCAGTGCATTTCTTATGAAAATATTCAGTCACCAGTTATGATTTACCTTTACCTTCTTTCAACTGACTTTGGAAAGACTATAAGAGCACTTGCACTTAATGTTGTGGTGAGTCGTCCCACAAGATATATTCAACATTGATCTCTCCATTGCCCTGTAGTATGCCGCTTGGATTTTGTTTACAACTTTTTTGGTTAGAGTTAATGTTTCTTTTCCATATTATTATGTTAGAACTGAAAGCACACCTCCCCCAGTCGATCCTAGACCTTCCTTTCCAAGCACATGAGAATATCTGATTCAAAGACATCCCTCAGTTTTCTGTAGGCTGCCCACATGTCAATCCTATTCTCTTGTTTAATTCTGTGGTCTGGTTTTCTCTACCTAATTCAATCTCCTGGCCTAAATATTTATAGGAATCAACTTGTTCTATTTGCTTGTCATACGTTGAAATGTTTTTGACCAGTACAAGGTTGCTCGTGAATTATGCTGGAGAAGCCGACATGCACGATCTGAACCATTGATATTAATATTTGTAGACTTTGAGAAAGCTTTTGACTCAGTCCAGCATATAGCTCCATGTTAAAGGCTCTTACAGAGCGAGTGCAGCCAGAATGGAACAAATTTCCCTTGATGAAAGGTAGACAAGGGAGACAAGACAGGGTAGATTTTGCAAAAGTGCAATAACTGGACTTTATTCGAGGTTTTTATTAGATTATCAGGCTTTAGCTTAATTATCCTCCTCAAGTCTGGCTTAAAATTCTTTCAATCTTTCTGAATTGAATGGTATATGATTCAGGATCTTGAGTCTTTTTAACGAAGAATCAGGGGAAGTACAAAGTAATGATTTAGAATTCTGGACAGGATCTAGAAATTCTAAGGATTTTCCATAAAACCAAGATTTTCAAGGTTGCAGAATTCAGAATCACTAAATCTCTAACGTCTTCTTTGGAAAAACAGAACCTTTTTGAAGGAGCAAATAAAAATTCAAAGTTATGAGAATCTGACAGGATCTAAGATCTTCAAAACTTTGTTTCAGAAAAACCAGGAAGCAGAGTAATGGATTAAAGATTCAGGATCTTTAGAGCCTTTTTGGAGAAGAAACGGAAATGTGTGAAGTAATGATTTAGAAATCAGGATCTAGAGATTTTAGAGATTTTTCATAAAACCATGATTTTCAAGGTTCGTAGAACTCTGGATCTCAAAGGTCTGTATCGTCTTTTTTACGAAAACAGAAAATTTGCCAAAGAGCAATTCAAGATTCAAATATTTTGAGAATCTGACAGGATCTAAGACCTCAAGCTTTTTTCTGAGAAGAACCAGGAAGTTTGCAAAGGAATCAATGCTTAGGATCGGGAAATGTGCGAAGTAATGATTCAGAAATCAGGATATAGAGTCCCTAGAGATTTTTCATAAAACCAATATTTTCAAGGTCGTCAAAATTCAAAGGTTTCAAGAATCTGATAGGATCCATGAAAACTTTAGAGTCTTTTTGGCGGAGACTCAGTAAGTAATGATTCAGAACTCAGGATGTAGTGTTTTTAGAGTTTTTTCTTAAAGCTATCATTTCAAGGTGCGCAATTTTCAAGGTGCGCAGATATCAAGATCTCAAGATCTGTAACGTGTTCTTTGGAAAAACAGAACTTTTCCCAAAGGACAATTAAAAATGCAAAAATTCTAAGATATTTGAAATTTTGTCTCAGAAGAACCAGAAAGTTTGGAAAGTAATGAGTCAATTCGGAATCTTGAGTCTTTTTGGCGAAGAATCGGAAGAAGTGCGAAGTGATGATTTAGAAGTAAGAATCTAGAGTTTCTACAGTTTTTTCATAAGGGCATGATTCTCAAGGTTCATTTGTCAAAGGAACATTTGCCGAAGAACAATTCAAAATTAAAGGATTCCAAGAATCTTGAAAATTTGCAAAGTAATGAAACAGAATTCAGGATCCAGAGATTTCCCAGAAAAGCAGCAAGAAATTAATGTAAAAAGTTGAAAAATGAAGTCAATAATCTTTTTTAAATCTAGCAAGAAATTTCAAGATTCGACAAATTCAGGATTTTAATACCCGTAGAGATTTCGCGAAGAAAAGTAGAACATTTGCAAATTAATAACTCAAGATTCAAGATCTCGTGAGCCTTTTTAAAGAAAACATCCGAAATCTGAAAAATAGACGATGGACTCGGGATTCAGGATCTAATGAAGTTTCTAGAGTTTCCTCAAAAAGACACCAACACTTTTTCAAGTTGTGCAAAATTCAGGACTGGAGTCTTCTCAAAGAAAAACAGGACTTAAAAGTCCTTAGAACTTTCTCCTGGAAGAACCAGGACATTTGCACAGTAATGACTCATGATTAAGCATCTGAAAGTCTTTTCGGAGAATCAGCAAATTTGCAATGCGATAAATGAGGGTTCAGGATCTTCCAATCTTTCTGAATCGAATGACATGATACAGGATCTTGAGTCTTTCTGACGAAGAATCAGGGAAAGTACGAGATAATGATTCAGAAACCTTGACAGGATCTAGAAATTCTAAGGATTTTCCATAAAACCAAGATTTTCAGAATCACAAGATCTGTAACGTCTTGTTTGGAAAAACAGAACCTTTTTGAAAGAACAAATCCTAATTCAAAGTTATGAGAATCTGAAAGGATCTAAGATCTTCGAAACTTTGTCTCCAGAAAAACCAGGAAGCAAAGTAATGAATCAAAGATTCAGGATCTTTAGAATTTTTTGGAGAAGAATCAGGAAATGATTTAGAAATTAGGATCTAGAGATTTTAGAGATTTTTCATAAAACCAAGATTTTCAAGTTTCGTAGAACTCAGGATCTCAAAGATCTGTATCGTCTTTTCTACGAACACAGAACATTTGCCAAAGAGCAATACAAGATTCAAATGTTTCAAGGATCTGACAGGATCTAAGACCTCAATTTTTTTTCTCAGAAGAATCAGGAAGTTTGCAAAGTAAAGAATCAAGGCTGAAGATCGGGAAATGTGCGAAGTAATGATTCAGAAATCAGGATCTAGAGATTATTCATAAAACCAATATTTTCAAGGTCGTCAAAATTCAAAGGTTTCAAGAATCTGATAGGATCTACGATCCTTGAAATATGGTCTAAGAAGAACCAGGAAGTTTGAAAAGGAAGAACTCAAGATTCAGGATCTTTAGAGTCTTTTTGGCAAAGAATCAGTAAGTAATGATTCAGAAGTCAGGATCTAGAGTTTTTAGAGTTTTTTTCATAAGGGTATTATGATTTTCAAAGTGCGCAATTCTCAAAGTGCGCAGATTTCAAGATCTCAAGATCTGTGACGTGTTCTTTGGAAAAACAGAACTTTTCCCAAGAAACTGAAGTTTCTAGAGTTTTTTCATAAAGGCATGAATTTCAATAAGGTTCATTTGTCAAAGGAACATTTGCTAAAGAACAATTTAAAATTCAAGGATTCTGCAATTTGCAAAGTAATGATACAGAATTCAGGATCCAGAGATTTTCCATAAAAGCAGCAAGAAATTAATGTATAAAGTTGAAAAATGAACAGTAAGAAATTTCAAGGTTCGCCAAATTCAGGATTTCAATACCTGTAGAGCTTTCTCGAAGAAAAGTAGAATATTTGCAAAATAATGACTCAAGATTCAAGATCTCGTGAGTTTTGGAGAAAAAATCCGAAATCTGAAAAATAGATGATGACTCGAGATTCAGAATCAAAAATTTCTAGAGTTTCTTCATAAAAACACCAAAAATTTTTCAAGTTGTACAAAATTCAGGTCTTCTGGAGTATTCCCAAAGAAAAACAGGACTCAAAGGTCCATAGAACCTCCTCCTGGAAGAACCAGGACATTTGCACAGTAATGACTCAAGATTAAACATCTGAAAGTCTTTTTGAGAAGGAGAATCAGGAAATTTGCAAAGTAAAGAATCAAGGCTCGGGATCGGAAAATGTGCGAAGAAATGATTCAGAACTCAGGATCTAGAGATTATTCATAAAACCAATATTTTCAAGATCATCAAAATTCAAAGGTTTTAACAATCTGATAGGATTTAAGATCCTTGAAATTTGATCTCAGAAGAACCAGGAAGTTTGCAAAGGAAGAACTCAAGATTCAGGATCCGTAAAGTCTTTTTGGCGAAGAATCAGTAAGTAATGATTCAGAACTCAGGATCTAGAGCTTTTAGAGTTTTTTCATAAAGCTATCATTATTTCAAGGTGCGCAATTTTCAAGGTGCGCAGATTTCAAGACCTAGAGATCTGTAACGTGTTCTTTGGAAAAACAGAACTTTTCCCAAAGGACAACTAAAAATTCAAAGATTCTTAAATATACTCCTGGACAAAATTATCGCACCACTGCTTATGGTGCTTATGTGCAGTGGTGGTGCGATAATTTTGTCCAGGAGTATATTTAAAATTTTGTCTGAGAAGAACCAGGAGTTTGTAAAGTAATGAATCAAAATCCGGAATCTTGAGAGTCTTTTTGGCGAAGAATTGGAAGAAGTGCGAAGTAATGATTTAGAAGTCAGAATCTAGAGTTTTTTCATATAGGCATGATTTTCAAGGTTCATTTGTCAAAAGGCACATTTGCCAAAGAACCATACAAAATTCAAGGATTCCAAGAATCTTGAAAATTTGCAAAGTAATGACACAGAATTCAGGATCTAGAGATTTACCATAAAAGCAGCAGATACCGAAAGTTGAAAAATGAAATGAATAATCTTTTTTAAATGCAGCCAAATCAAGGTTCGTCAGATTCAGGATTTTGATGCCGGCCGGTGAGCCTTCTCTCGTAGAACATTTGCAAAGTAATGACTCAAGATTCAAGATCTCGTAAGCTTTTTTGGAGAAAAAATCCGAAATCTGAAAAATAGATGATGACTCGGGATTCAAGATCTAATAAAGTTTCTAGAGTTTCTTCATAAAAACACCAACACTTTTTCAAGTTGTACAAAATTCAGGACTTCTTGAGTCTTTTCAAAGAAAAACAGGACTCGAAGGTCCTTAGAACCTCCTCCTGGAAGAACCAGGACGTTTGCACAATAATGACTCAAGATTGAGCATCTGAGAGTATTTTCAAAGGAGAATCAGAAAATTTGCAATGCGATAAATGAAGGTTCAGGATCTAAAAAATTTACAGTTTCTTCATAAAAGCACCAAGAAATTTCAAAGTTTGCAGAAGTCAGAATCTCGAGGGAAAAGATCCCAAAAATCTCTTCATACAATTGAGTCAATACGAAAATGCTGTAAATGAGCCATTTCAAATAACTTGAAGACAGTAAGCTTGGGAACAGGGTTGATGTGCCTTAGATCGAGATCATCGAATTAAATTAAAAAATTGATGGTATTGTAACGTTCTCAGCAATGGAGGAAATCATTTCAGTATTTATTTACAGTACATTCCAATTAATTTTCCTGACTAATTAACAAAAACTCCAGAGGTTTCAAAAGAAATTGGAATTCAAAGCTCTACTAAGCCTAAGCATCCTCCAAGTTATAGCCGTGCAAATTTGCCAATAGACTCTCATATCTGATTTCAGATCTCAGTTTACTACTTGGGAAAATAATCTGTGAAGACTTATTTCAACAAAATGGCTATTTTATATTGGGCCTTTTTTTGAAGCCTTCCACATTTATGTCTTTATTCTTCAATGTTTCGGTTCATACTTCGCCAGTGGCTATACCTAAATTAGATATGGCCTTACATATGTGGTTCAATATATTGTCTGTAATCTTATAAAGACAGTCCAACTTCAATTTTTCTTAGGATTCCAAATACTTAAACCAATACTCATAAATTTTATATCCTCTCGGGTACCAAACGAGACCATACAAGTTAACGCCAAGCGAGAACAGAAAGTGGTTCTTAAAAGCGGTTTTGAATCGAAATTCTCGATGATTGGTCACCGACCTTGTTAAACCTTGCCTGAGGTGCTTACTCAGCACTGTGACTTCATTTTGGTCAGTGCGTTTACCTCATTAGGTAGATAGAATTTACTTGTTAATTTGTTTTATTTTTTCTATCAACTTGAGTCGAGTAAAATCCCTATTGATATTAAAATAGCTGACAATGAAAAAATTGAAGCTCTTAACATCAATAATACTAAAGTAGTTTAAAGAAAGCTTACAGTTATTTTAGTTGCGTCATACGGTGGAATTAATGCTGGCGCCAGTGATATTTGACCATGACTTGAGATTTGAATACAAGTTTTCGCAATAAAATTATTATAAATTATAACATACCTGTGCTCTTCTTTGATCATAAGTAAGCGTAATGGTAACTTGTCCATCTTTTCCCTCCTCAATTTTCACTACAGTACTCTCAGCCAATCGTAAAGCAGGACTCTTTTCAGCTGAATGAACGAAATCTTCAGTCCTCATCTCCTCGATCCTTTTGAATTCGCCATTCGCCAGTTGAATGAGTTGGCCTTTTTGAAAATTCGCTGGCACCGTGTTATTGTTCAGATGCTTCTTAGGAGATCGAGGGGGTGATATTGTTGCTGTCAACCTTTTCCGACCCTCTGGAGGTTTTTGCAAATCCAATGGCATACTACGCGATACAGCATCTTCTGGCCTAATTAATAATCTATGTTTCATCGAGCCTTCTTTACCAGAAGGTACTTTAAAACTAGGACTTTGGGGAAGTGGCGAATGGGGAACTGTCGATGAGGTAACTGGCGAATTAGTTTTATCCCGTCTTAAAATATTTGTTTGCGTAGGCTTTATGGAAGATGACGGTGGACTAAATGTGGCAGGCGGCGATAAAAATGTGGCAGTACTACTCGCTGTAGGCGTGGCAGGTGAAAATATTTCCTGTGGACTTAAAGGCGTCGGAGGGAACGTTGGGGTTCTCAGCATGTAAGGTTGCTGACACATTGCCGGATAAGCAAACGGCGGATATTGAGGACTATGGGAAAATAATCTATATGGAGAATATGGAGATAAAGTTTCTTCTTTGATTTCCTCTTTGGGTTGCGTAAGGTTGACGGGAATGGCAGAAGGTGGCGGCGATGGGTATTTGCTGATCGGCCTCGACGGAGCGATCCTGGTACCGTTCGGATACGTGGTTGCTGGTAATCCATTGTAAGTTCTGTAAGGAAGAAATATTGTTGTTTGTTCCTGAGTACATCTAAAGGGAGAAAGATAAATATTTGTATTAAATGTGTAATGGGGTGAGGGGTGAGGTTACCTTGTTGCAGGTGGCATTAATTTCGGAGCTGGCCTAAGAAACACCTCTGATGATTGTTTCGGAGGGTTTCGGCTCCAAGGTTCCGAGTAGGTCATGTAGGGCAAACGTCCTTCTACTCCTGCGGAAATCATCGGCCCAATGGCCTTTCACAGCCAATCTGGAAAGAAATATTTTGTTAATATACTTATTTAAAACATTTAAAAGTTTAGTACTTTATCGGTATCTATAAGCCCATTTGCTTGATGAGAGAGCTATGTAAATTCTGTAAGTTGAGCATGAATTGATCCTAATGGATCAAATAAACGGATTGATTACACAAACTTCAACAGAGGCATTATTTTAAAGGTACATACATACTTGTTTTCGAATATAATTCAATGAAAATCATACATAATTATTTGCCTTATACAACTGGAAGAACATGGAGAACTTTCACTTTTTTAGTGTTATTTTTGTTACAAGTTTCAATACATCTTTTTCTATGTTCCAAGCAAACTAAAAGTCTGTCGACATAGAAAATAACATACGTAGGATTCGTAGGAACGTTTGTATTCAATTTGTTGAATCGTTTATAATAAAATTTACTTCGTAGGTATAATATGTTCAGCATGACTTGTTCAGTAACAACAAAAGATACCAAATGTTCTGGACAATTCTATAAAACTCTTCCGAATTATATACAGGGTGTCCCATGAGCCATGATCAGTGTATCAAACTCAAAAGACTTGTGACAATGATCAGTAGTCTAATGGATATCATAGTAAATAAACTGAAGAAAAGCTCTAGTAGGGTTAAGTCTCGTATATTGCCGCGGCTTTTCATCTTTAACCAAGAGTTACTGTGTTATGTAACTGATGTTCTCGGACGTGACCTAATATGATGTAGGTATGTCTATTCCAAGACAAAAATCTACTGAAATAGATTGCAGAACATTAGGTACCAGGAAAAACAGACGATTAAATAGGTCAGATTAGATTAGATCTTATTAGATTGTGTTAGGGGCGTTAAGGTGATGGAAATATGCAAAATTTCACATTTCTGACATTCACATTTTGTTTCTGGCCATGGTTTCTAAAAATTCAGCCAAAACTGTACAACTTTTATATTTACACCTTTATTCTACTTGTTAAGGTAAAGGCTATAGGTGGGGGTCAATATATAAAAAAACACCCTGTACAAAGTGGATTATTGCGGAACTTATGGGTGGACCTCTGCGGGACGAGCGCAGCGAGTTGCGCAGCCATCTACTTACCGCAATATACTGTTGAACTGTCCAAATAAGACACTCACCTGAAATGTGTAGTTTTTGAGAGAAAAATTCACAACTGAGTGAATCAGGTTAGTATTGTACTTGAACATCATATTGGTGAATAGATGGCTGGGTCCACCTATAAGTTCCACAACAATCCACTCGTTTGTACTTGAATAACTTGTCACAAAATATCACTAGTTTGGTAAAGTAACATTACTAATTCCTGTTGAAAGGCGAAATTAACAAAAAGTGGATAATCTTAAATATTCTGACTTTATATAATAAGTTATTTTTAAGTACAAATAAGTGGATTGTTGCGGAACTAATAGGTGGACCTCTGCGGGACGAGCGCAACGAGTTCCGCAGCCATCTAATCACCAATATACTGTTGAACTGTTCAAGTAAGACATTCACCTGAAACGTGTAATTTTTAAACTAATGAGAATAACGCACATTTGAGTGAATCAGGTTAGTATAGTAATTAAACAACATATTGAAAAATAGATGGCTGCGGAAATCGCTGCGCTCGTCCCGCAGAGGTCCACCCATAAGTTCCGCAACAATTCATTCATTTGTACTTGAATAACTTGTCACATTATGTTACTAGTTTAGTAAAGTAACATTACTTATTCCTGTTTAAAGGCAAATTGACAAAAAGTGGACAATCTTACAAATTCTGATTTTATATAATAAGTTATTGTTCAAGTACAAATAATTGGATTATTGCGAAACTTATGGGTGGACCTCTGCGGGACGAGCGCAGCGAGTTCCGCAGCCATCTACTCACCAATATACTGTTGAACTATTCAAATAAGATACTCACCTGAAACGTGTAGTTTTTGAACTAATGAGAATAACTGACATTTGAGTGAGTCAGGTTAGTATCGTACTCGAACAACGTATTAATAGACATTTTAAGTAGGTCCTGAATTTCAAACGTATCCGTATCCGCATCGATCTGCGCATGCGCAGAATAGAGACAGTACGGTGATTTCGTTGCGTTGCGTTGTCCGTATCGTTACGGGCCTAGCCTCGTCTCTGTATCCGGAAACGTATCTCAATCATTTGACACTATTGATCTCTTTGTTAAGCCCATTTTACAATGGATGTAACGTATAACCGTAAAGACGTAACATAAGATGGGCACATGAGATTTATTTGCGACAACTGGAAACGCAGAGATGCCGCCGTGCCGCTTTGTCAAGTAAATCTTGCCACAGTAACAACACTGGAATTGTGGTAGCAACAAGTCGTTAGTAGGTTTGGGCAAAGAATTTAATTATTCTTGTAGCAATACTTCATTTGTGTAGCAGCACAAGATCAAAATATATAGCAAGAAAAAAAAGGTAGCAACACGTCTTGAGTAAAAGTATAGCAACACTCGTTTCTGTGTAGGAATAAAATCATTAGTGTGATAGTTTTCGCTCAGGAGTGTGTTGAATTTCTTATGTAGCAACACGAAATAAAAAGTGTAGCAACACAATCGTTGGGAGTAGTTTTTAGTAGTTTTAGAGTAAGATTTCAATGAATTTATGTAGCAAAATTTCTAAAAAGAAAAAGTGTAGCAACATGAGTGAAAGTGTAGCAACAAGTCGTTTTGGGGGTAGTTCCTTTTAGTGGGTTTTTAGGGTGAGATTTTGTAGCAACACTTGTTATATGAAAATGTATTGAATTCGTTTGTAGCAACATTTGGTAAAAAAATTAGTTTCCCGTCGGGTTTGGAATTCGAATTTTACATTTTCCCGGCTTTTTGATTGGTTCGGGAATTTGAATTTTGATTATTCCCGGTTTTTGATTGGCTTATTTTTAAATTTTCCCGGCTTTTGATTGGTTTAGAAATTCAATTTTTAATCTTGATTGGCTTAGAAATTCAAATTTGCAATATTTCCGGTTCTTGATTGGTTTCCAAAGCCAGTTTTTGAATTTTCTTAACTCTTAATTGTTTAAAATTCAAATTTTAAACATTCCCGGCTCATGATTGGTTCAGAAACTGAATTTTTGATAAATTCCGGCTCTTGATTGGCTTCCAAAATCAATTTTTGAATTTTGCCGACTCTTGATTGGGTTCAAGATTCAAATTTTGAATATTCCTGGCTCTTGATTGGTTCTGAAATTCAAATTTTGAATATTTCCAGCTCATGATTGGTTTAGAAATATAATCCAAAGCTGGGAATATTTGAAATTTGAATTTCTAAGCTAATCAAGGGCCGGGAATATTTAATATTTGAAGCCAATCGAGGAATAATCAAAAATTCAATTTCTAAACCAATCATGAGTTGGGAATATTCAAAATTTGAATTCTAGAGTCAATCAAGAGCCAGGAATAATCAAAATTTGAATTTTAAATCCAATGAAGAGCCGGAAAAATGAAAAAACTGACTTTGGAAATCAATCAAGAGCCAAGAATAATCTAAAATTCAATTTCTAAACCAACCATGAGTCGGGAATATTCAAAATTTGAATTTTAGGGCCAATTAAGAGTCAAGAATAATCAAAATTTGAATCCTAAATCCAATCAGGAGCCGGGAAAATTTGAAATTCGAAGTCAATCAAGAGCCGCCGGGCCGGGAATAATCAAAAATTCAATTTCTAAACCAATTGTGAGCCAGGAATATTCGAAATTTGAATTTCAGAGCCAATCAAAAGCCAAAAATAAGCAAAATTTGAATTATTCCCATCTTCTCTTATGTTGCGTTTCCAGTAATATATTTGACGCGAATAAACCTAATGTGCGCATGCTTAGGACTTATGTTACGTCTTTACGATTACATTACGTCCATTGTAAAATGAGCTTTAGTTATCACTTAAATAACTACGAACACAGCTACAAAATCAATACAACACTTTTTGAGGTTAGAAAACATTTCATCCAAGGATACTTATTAACGTAATGTATGTATGGTATGGCCATGCTTGAAAGGATTTTTAGGCGGTCAACGTAAGTCGATGCGTTTACGGATACGGATACGTAGAAAAATTTTGGATTTAGTTAAAGTGTCTAATGAATAGATGACTGCGGGACGAGCGCAGCGTTTAGAAATTCAATTTTTAATCTTGATTGGCTTAGAAATTCAAATTTGCAATATTTCCGGTTCTTGATTGGTTTCCAAAGCCAGTTTTTGAATTTTCTTAACTCTTAATTGTTTAAAATTCAAATTTTAAACATTCCCGGCTCATGATTGGTTCAGAAACTGAATTTTTGATAAATTCCGGCTCTTGATTGGCTTCCAAAATCAATTTTTGAATTTTGCCGACTCTTGATTGGGTTCAAGATTCAAATTTTGAATATTCCTGGCTCTTGATTGGTTCTGAAATTCAAATTTTGAATATTTCCAGCTCATGATTGGTTTAGAAATATAATCCAAAGCTGGGAATATTTGAAATTTGAATTTCTAAGCTAATCAAGGGCCGGGAATATTTAATATTTGAAGCCAATCGAGGAATAATCAAAAATTCAATTTCTAAACCAATCATGAGTTGGGAATATTCAAAATTTGAATTCTAGAGTCAATCAAGAGCCAGGAATAATCAAAATTTGAATTTTAAATCCAATGACGAGCCGGAAAAATGAAAAAACTGACTTTGGAAATCAATCAAGAGCCAAGAATAATCTAAAATTCAATTTCTAAACCAACCATGAGTCGGGAATATTCAAAATTTGAATTTTAGGGCCAATTAAGAGTCAAGAATAATCAAAATTTGAATCCTAAATCCAATCAGGAGCCGGGAAAATTTGAAATTCGAAGTCAATCAAGAGCCGCCGGGCCGGGAATAATCAAAAATTCAATTTCTAAACCAATTGTGAGCCAGGAATATTCGAAATTTGAATTTCAGAGCCAATCAAAAGCCAAAAATAAGCAAAATTTGAATTATTCCCATCTTCTCTTATGTTGCGTTTCCAGTAA